CTCGAAGGCGTCAGTCACGTCGTATCGGGCTCCAAACCGATCCTCGAGGAACGCCTGGAAATCCACGAAGGTCGGAGTCCGACCCTCACGAAGGCAGTAGGCATAGAAATCCTCCCAGGCCTCGAAAGGACCGCCACGCAGGCGCGTGGAGAGGTGACCCACCCACGTCTCGGGTGTGGCGCCCATGAGCTGGAGTGTGCGGGTGGCAGACTGCAGCCACCGAGACACGCGTATGCCTGTACCGTCATACAATGCAATGTCCGACAAGCGGATGAGTGGTGCGCCACCGTTTTAGCGGTGAGGGGATCGAGGAGCGGAGGCCTGTGCCACGGCTGAGTAAGTCGGCGCAGGTCCTGGAGAAAGGGGCGCAGCTGACTGTGCGCCCAAGCCGCATAGGGGAGCGGCGGTGGCAACAGCGGCAGGCTGTGAGGGTGCTGCGGTAGAAGAGGTCGCCGCAACCGCGGTAGTAGGAAGAAGGTAGGAAGGAGTTGTATAGGCTGCAGGGCGCAGTAAGCGAGCCTGCATGGGAGGAAGGGTAGAGGAGGTAGGGGGTGCGCCCGAAGGCGCGGCCACCTGTGAGGGTGGGGGTGGCTGAAGGCGTAGGAGGGCGAGGTCGGCCCGGAGCTGGGCAATCTCGTCCGCGAGACCTCGAACGTAGGTCGATCGAGGGGTGGCAGGAGGAAGAGTGGAGGGGGTGGACGCACAAGCGGCGCGGGGCATCTTAGAGGGGGGAGAGCCAGGTGGCGCTGCGGTCGTGTGAAGGGGAGGGAGAAGCGGGGCACCCGGAAAAGCTGAGACCATGGTAGCAGGTTGTTGTACCGTGGCCGTAGGGACCGGGATCTGGGCGGGTGCGCCCGTAGACTGAGGGGGGGCCTGGCTCGTGGCGCCCGTCGTGCTAGGGGCGTGGACAGTCACCAAGATGGTCGGGTCAGGGGCAACGGAGGAGGCTCCGCCGTGGCCACCCTGTCGGAGGATGGGGGACCCGGACTGGGAGCCAGGAGATGACGGACATGCAGCGTCCTGGAGTTGCTGCATGCCGGCGGCAAGGGTCGCCACCTGCGCCTGTAAGGGCGCGAGGGTCGCGAGTTGCGCCTGGATGGGCCCAAGGGTCGCGAGTTGCACCTGGATGGGCGCAAGGAGGGAGGTGAGGAGGGTGTGTAGATCCCCCTGAGGCTGATGGCCCTGGTCCGCCGGCACGGGTGTGGAGCCTGATGCCGTGGTCATCGCCGTGTCGGCGGCGTGTGACGCACCGTCGG